TATTTCCGCCCCCCCCCGAGGCAGACTCTCAAAGCCAAGGACAGACGTTCGTTCACTTTTGGCATCATTTCTGTCATACGTTTCTGATCCCAGGGTGCTGCTGGAGGACCAGTCTGAGATTGTTTCCCAGTGTGGTTTACCTGGAATAGAGTAGGGGAGCTCCCACAAGGTACTCTGTTGTCTCTGCCATGGGCAGAGATGAATAGATGGTGAGGAAATAACTAACCAGTCTAGCTGATTTTTGAGAATGTCTGTCTACTGCAGAACTTACATCTGCATGTTTGTTTTTACCGGTTTGTATCTTCCTTGGACAGACAGGCACCACCTCTGAATCCAGCCCAACACGCAGTTAACAGAACTGACTGCAGTGTTGACTGTAGCGTGAGTTTATAGAGTTCCAAAGATTTGCATTGGTGGACAACAGCATGATCTAGGAAAGGAAGCATACTAAAATGGAAAACTTGTAAAACTTTGATGCCTGAGATGAAGTTTAGTTACCTTTTTACCTACTGCCAATGGCAACAAGTCTGGATATCAGTTTATATGCAGGTACGTTGCTTTTTCCACTGAATAAAGGTATTTTCCATGTTTTGCTATCCATCATTTTTTCCAGTCTTACTCCCTCAAAATATGCTTCACTAGGATCATTTGTGTCTACCTAAAATACATTAAGAGCTACACAATTTTTAAGTTTTATAGAAATCATACAGTATTCAAAACTGCTTGCAAAATGCCATTTCAAAGTTTCCAAGTTCCTGTAAAAGAGCAGTTTACAAACATAGCTGCAATTCTGTCTGCAGAAATTACCTATTAGCGAACTTCCCTCAGCAGGGAACTTCTCAGTAAACATGCTTATTATCCTAAAATACTAACAGCAAATAAAGAAACTTCTTTAACTGGGATAATCCAAGCTGCACAGCTTGGGAACCCTGAAGTCTTAAAATACACAAGCATATACACAATATAGAAAAACAGTAAATGATGTTTGATTTTTTTTTCCCCACTTGCTGGACTAGCACAATTAGTTTCTCAAACTTCCCACGTTACTGAAAACCTTCTGTGTTTTAATAAAAAAAGAATGAAAAATTTTAATCTGTTTAAGAGAACATTTATAATATACAAAGCAAATCTGTATGAAGACTTGGAAGAGTTAGTTACAAAACGCAGAGGGGGAAATGCAAGAAGTTCTCTTTAGAGAATGTAAAATGAATATGAACTTCCATCTTACCTGGAAATAGACTGAAACTGCAAAACTGATCAGTTTACTCTATCAATTGGGAGAAAACATCAGTTTTCTTTCTCCAGATAATCCTCCCATTCCCAAACTGCCCATTTATCCCCATCATGTTCACGTTTATTGTATTCTATGTTTGCATTTGCCAAGTCCCAACCTGACATAGTGAAAGTTACCACAAGCAGCTGAACCATCCTCACCAGCCTATCAGAGGGATCAACAGATTTATTCCCCAAGATTAGTTTCTCTTTTATGATTGTTTTCAAACAGACAATGTCATATTCAGAATTTAAATTCTTTTGCTGGAAGTTGAACTGTGAGGAGTTTGGGCTGCATCTCAACAGGCTTTTTATAGGGTTATGTTTGAATTTACTCAAACCTTTAAACATCCATAGAAACTACTAAGAACATGTAAGTGTTTCAGGATACAAATGTTTGTTCTTTTCACTCTGGAACTCAGACCACAAATAATAAACAAAACTCAGTCTGTTCCAACCTTTATCTTCAGAAACAAGCAAGCAACCCAAGTCAGGAACATCTACATGCTCAGCTCCTTTCAATTTACATTTACTAACCCAAATTCCTTGCTAAGACTTCAGCTGAACATAATGTGTTACTCAAAATTCTTTAAATCAAATGACATCCAAGTCTGAGACAAAGACATGCATTTCCTATCTTGATTCGGCATGTACCTTGCTTTCCTTCTTCCTCTTTTTTTAAGCCCAAACCCAATCTTTAAGAATTACATTTCACTACTCAACTGACTGCAGTGACCTAGCTTTAAAAAGTATCAGAAAGAACAGCAACTTAGAATTGTCCTAATTTTTCCCACATCTTTATGCTAATCCAATAGATACACCACTTCCAGCAGGAACATAAGGCATGACTAATCATTGCTTGAACTTAACTGAGCTAATGACTACTTATAATACAGGAAACAAAGGCAGAAAGCAACGCAATGAATGTGACAACTGGCTGCAGTGGAAATAATTTTGTTCTAAATTCTAATATTCTGATGGCTATATGTAATATAAACAGATTCTATCCACTGCAGCAACCCCCACTTTGTTGGAAACAGAACTAGTCATATCGTAAGTAAACATATTGCATTTAGATTTTTAATACATGGGCTATTCACACTTTGAACATTTAAAGATAGCTTAGAAGCAAAATCGATGGGCAAACTTTGTGTAAATATCTTCCTCCCCCCCTACCTGGAGCAAAATTTTTCAGTCATATAGGGGATAAACCCATTTCTTTCTTACCAACTTTTGTTTACGCATAAAAAAAATTAGGTTCATCCAGAATAGTTACTGTATGTTTCAATAACTTATTTTTTCAGTATGAAACAGCATCTTCAAAAAGATGACAGATAGCAGTTATCTTGAAATGATCCTCTGAAAATAAATACTAGCTTTAGAAGAAGCAGGAATAACATATGGGACTATTACGCTTAGAATTTGTGCAAAATTTTTTAAGTGATCTTTTGCATAATCAAAATGTAAACTACAAGACTGTAGACTGGAAATATTTTTGAAATATTAATAAACCAGAATGCAAACAATGTATAATGTACAAATAAATGAAATAGTAAACAAGAAACCTGCCTAAATAAAGGAAACTGGATGTTCATAAAGGTTCTACTCCATTTCCAAAACCCATTTTTGTCCAGTGTACCTATGTTCACAGCATGCTCTCAAATGCCAAGTCAGATTTAGTAACATAAGTATATAAAGAAACATCATTTGGACACACAAAACATGAAGATTAAGATAATTTTTTTTTAAACCAATGTTGTATCAATCACATTTATAATTTCTCTTATAGCATGTGATCAAACAAAACAGAATGGATAGATTGCTAATTTTTTAAGTAATGTTATGTACATTTTATTGCCAGTATATGCACAATGGTAAGCATAGAACTATAAATACACAATGAAATTAAACAGTAGAAAACAACAAGGATGTTACACATAACAAAGGAAAGAAAGAGGAGATACTATTTTCTTGATGTAGCTGCTAAAAAGGGCTAGTGACGAGTTATGACAGTCTTGGGTTTAGATCTTTACATATATTTCTACAATTTTCCTCCAAATAAATGTCTGCAACGGCACTGCTTCTTTAACAACCACATCTTAGCTCTTCCTATTGCATTCACTTCAAACTAAAGTGAAAACAACCCTTCATGTAACTACAAGCATCTGACTTAATTGTTATTCAGTTTTTGTTTTCAGGGTTCCTAGCAAGTAAAGTGTGTAAGTAGTTTCTTACGATATTTGACTGCAATGTTGAAGAACAGAGTTTTGAATACACATTAAGTGATAATTTGGGAAAGAAAAAAAAAAGATAGTTTTTCCACTGGGTGCTATAGGCAGCAGCTCAGTCAAAAATTAGTCACCCTGAAGAGGTAGAGAGAATTTTAGCCTAGCATAGATCATCATCCTTGGCACCGCTATTTTCTCTCTTATCAGGATACACTTCCTACAACTAGACAACATCACAGTAAAAGTGAATTAAAAAAAAAAAAAATAAATCAGGAAAAAAAAAGTTCCACCATTCCTGGAAACGGCACTGTTTCATCTCAGTTCTCAGTTACTTAGCTTGCTGCTTATATCCAAGACCAAAAAAAAAAAAACCAAACCCAAGGGGGGGAAAAAAAAAAAAAAAAAAAAAAAGGAAAAAAGACAACATTTAGGGACACATTTACTTGATCTTTGTTCTCTTTCCATTCTCAAGTTCATAAATACAAAGAACCATTATTCACAATAAACTAACTCTTTTTCAAAAATGGAAAAACAAACCCTGGAAACATTTCCACACCTTAATCCAGATGGGTCTTGAGGATGCTATTCAAGAAAACCATGCAAATAATTTGGTGCAGCTTTCCCAACTCATCCAAAATATATATATTTTTTTTTTTAATTAAAAGGTGGCAAGATCCATAGCATTTGTGACTATTCCCCCTCCCCCTCCACTTAAATTCAATGCAGAAAATCTTGGTGCTTTTAGGAAGGTAACAAATAAATAGTTTTCTGCACTGTTGTCATAAAATCCCATGTGAGTTACAATACAAGACTACTTGTTCCAGCAATTAGGCTGAGAGGAAACATTCTAGTGATAAAGATAAATACATACTGAGCATGCTTGGGCAGAGCACTCCATTCTGAAGCATCCTGCTTGAAGAACGGAAGGTGACAAGGATGGTTCACGTCCATCAAGTGACCATTAACTCTGCTGCTAGAAAGCAGACTGCCACACTATCACCAGGTCGGCAATGCTACCCTGAAAGGGCTGTCTTCCACATTAAGAGGTACCGGTTGCACCAGTCCCCTGCTGCGCACACTAAATTCTTATTTATGCAACAAACATACAACCAATGAACAATATCACTTTTACAGAACTGGATTAATCCAGCTTTTTTTTTATAGGCATATTTCTCAATCTCCAGAATATCCCAAACAAGCTGTAAATAAGATGATGAACCACCAACACAGTGAACGAGTCTCACTGCAGTTCAGACTAGTTCAGCCTTGTTTCACATCACTTCTTGTTTCTAGCGAAGGACATGATACTCAAACAAAACAGCAATAAAAAAGTAATGTTATCTGCAGCTGAATAAAAGCAACAGAATTTACATTTTAACTTCTGAAGCTCAAAGCATACCTTTTTAATTAGCATTAAAAAAAATTTTTTTTTAATACAATAACACTGGCAAAAGTTAACGGGAAGACACAGAGGACTGTGAACAAGATAACTGATGGATTAGATTATTTTATAATTTTATTCTGCTTTGATCAACTGATGTTAATACTGTTTTTCCTTGGATTGGAATAATTCTATTGCAACAGTCACATGCAGGCTGAGGACAGCCGTTGGTTCAAGAAAAAAAAAAAACAAAACAACAACAAAAAACAACCCAACAAAAGAAAGGGGAAAAAACCCAAAAAAGGTTCCAAACGTTCTATGTAAGAATTTTCCTTTCACTGAAGAGGGCCTTGCCCTTGCTTTAGGAGACCTGGTTAACTCGTCAGCTTCATTAGCTTTGTCCAGACATATCTGCTGTTGTATCCCCTGGTCCAGAGCCTGTCTGTGCACGTTTGATGTAAAGGTTCAATAGTTTCATCTGCAAATTTAAGCCAGAAATTTGTTTAGTGTTTGCAAACTGTACAGACTACAGGAATAGTACAACAAAGGAGACATTAAACCATTTCATTTTCTCCAAAAGCAAAATCATATTTTACACAGTTTATTCAAATGTAATGTACTTGCCAATGAAAACATCAAACACAGCAAAATTTGTCACAAGGAGACTGCTCAAGCTTCTTTAAGGATGTAAAGAAGAGAATCATCTAAGGTAGCTAGATCAAGATAGATGGAATATTTTCCTCAAATTACAATGCCGTTCTAAATAAGGGAGTGTTGTTTTTTTTTCTTTTAAGTTAATGTTGAAGTTTTAAGCCCCTAATTAAGAGCTGTTGACACTGGTACTTACTGAAGCTTCCGATACTGTCTAGAATGACATTCAACACAATCGCTGCCAGAAAGTATTTTTAAGATAGGACTGTCTCATTCAAAAATTTAAAAAATTGCCCTGTTTTTTTCCCCAAGGACAAAGAGTCACATGCATGCAAAAAACTGTATGTAAGAGATGTCAACAAAATCAGAAATATCCTGAACCAAGACAGACCACAGACTGATTACCATTATTTCAAATTAAGAGGTACCAAAAGGACTGATGAAAGCAAATTAACAATGAGGGAGAATAAACAAAACTGCTGTATGTAACATCTACATATTACACTTATTGCTCTCCAATCAGAACTTGCATGAAAATCAAGACAAGAAATACTGACGTGAAAAGCCATGCCGAGTACAGCCATTATCACTACCTACCAGGGATACAACCGGTAACTAAATCCATTAAACAGCAGTAAGATAGATAATTTAGTATTTTTCTTAATGCTAAAGTTCACACACTTGCATAAGTAAAGATCTATGAATTTTCTGTTTTGAACATTTTACGATGAAGTTGTATTAACCCTCAGAGGGTTTCAGTAGCCCAGACATTCTCATTCAAGCATATACTTTTACAAAACTTTCTGGCAATTGCAACCAAAATGCAAAAGCATACATGCAATTATGAACCAAAATTTCTTTGAACAGTATCTTTTACTTACTTTACTGCCAGTGAGTTGACTGAGATGTGGTTTTAGTTCATCACCAATTACTGCATGAATGGCTACAAGGCAGAAAACACATGCCTTACGAACACTGCTCTCTGAATTGTCATAACCCTAGAAAGCAATAAAATTAACATTAATACCTTATCAGTTAATCATTAAAAGCCTCAGAAAGCTATTTACTTATTTACTATAATAAATACATTGAAGCCTACAGTAAATTAATGCTAGTGTAGCCCAATGAAGCATTCCAACAAAAAAAGACTAACATGCAAATACAGAGCATGCACTTAAAAAGCAGGCTGCTTGTTAATCATCATTGATAATCATTTTCCAGACTGAAATTAAAACCCACACAATCTTGTTCCTAAGTTACACTGCAAACAGAGCTGCTGTCATGCAATACGAGAGTATGTAAGAAAAATTGTTCTAGATTATACAGATATTTACTTTAAAGCAGAAGACCACTCAATTTAGAGCTTCCTTACTCTGAAGGAAGTATTCTCTTAACAGCTAAAGATTCTTTTGTTAACTCCCATCTTGTTCTTTAATGATTTTTGCCATTTTACTAGTACCCTACACATGCTGTCTGTCTCACACCCCCTTCTCAGAGGGCCCCTTCTCTGCCCCTACCTTCCTGCGTGACTGGATCACACCCATTAAAGACAGAAATCTGAAGAATGCAGCTGCTGAACTCTGAAAAGTCTTTATCCATCATGTGTAAATTAAAGTATCTTGGCTCCTCATAAGGGGAGAAAGAACTTATTTTTAAAGACAAAGTGAAAACTCTGATATCCTTCTCATTTTATTAAACTTTCCCCAATGAACTGCTTCTTTCCTCTTGCCTCCCTCAAACCCCAAGTGATAAACGCTACAATTGTATACAAATACAACATGGACAACTTCAGACCAAATGATTACAACTTGGAAACAGATACAAACAAAAGCTATCTTATAACTATAAACACCTACCAAGCTTAACTATAACCAGTATTTCATATCCTACCTAGATTTCTTTTGAGTCCTAACAACAGTTATAATTTAGCTACCCACCAATCAAAGAGTTTGTTCCCATTATCTGAGTTATTTTGGGGCAAAGCAGCTATCAGCTATCAGAGAAATAAAATCCTTCATGAGTCAAGTGATACTATTTCTAAAGTCTTTGGAATTCTTATATATATAATATACAGTTCCTTTTTTTCTTTTTTTTTTTTGGCCTTTCTTCTCCCCTTACCTGTATTAGACCCGGCACAATCTCTGGTAAAAGCTGAGTAAGGGTTTCTTTAGATACTCTTTCTATGACTTTTGTCTGCATTTTGATTGCAGCCAGATTAATGGGGTAATCTGCAGTTTGGATAATTGGACAAAGAACTTTGATGCACTGATCTGGGCTAATGGAAGTGGCCAGCATGGAAGCAGCTTCTTCAGCAGATCTCACCACCTATTGGAAGAATAAGTAAAAGACATGGAAAAAAAGATTTAAAAGAGACTGTCACTATGGTATATTATCTGGCAGTAATGGTCTTGAGCATAAAAAATTTCCTACCAAGAGCTTTACAGTATTGTAGAAATATGTGAATGAAGAATCTTTGAAAATCTGTTTACACTATCCCAACTGTCGCACACACTTTCCTAAAAACAAGACTCTTCCCAATATTCTGTGGCTAATCTGTGTCCTTAGCAATACTACATCAGTTTTTCAAACCTCCTTGTTGAATCACATCTGAAATTTCTCTATTCTGCAATACCCTCCAACTACATATTGAAATATCACCACCTCTGTAAATTTGTAATTTCTTGTGTTGACATTTGTTATTGCTGGTTATGTCAGTGGTAACTGACAAGACATGTTTTCACATTCAGCTCAAAACCAAGTTTAATGACATGCCTAAACTGCCTCTTCTGGAAGTCAATCTAGCTGTATTTCCTCCCCTCTAAGTCTGAGAGAAACAATGACAAGACAGTACTTTAAGCCTGAAGCAGCAGAACAAGAGTAATTAGGTAGGAAGTCAACAGGTAGAGAAGCTCAGGATACAAGATGGGCACAACAGAGAAAATTCACATCTGATCTTCGTATTAGTGTAGCTGTAGCACTTGCCATCTAACAAGACAAACTGCTGAAGAAAATCAGCAGTATGTACATCAATGATGTACAAAAACCTCCGTAACTGTTTCTCTCCATCCTTGTCCTCTCTACACTCTCACTCATGCATGAAACCAAGAGAGAATAAAATCACAGTAAGAGAAAAGGAAAGATGGGGAGAAAACACAGTGGTAAATACAGTATATGAAACAAATCAAGAGAGTGCAGGGAAAAGAGAAATGAGTATCAGATGAGTGACAGAAGTTACTGCTGTGGGAGGAACTGCAGGCAAACTTCAAAACCTGTAACTCCACAGTAAGCTCCGTACAGAGTAAGTGCCCTTGGATGGGAAGGGAGAAGATGTACTCATTTAATAATAAACCCGGATTCTTTCCATAGCATGAGTGACACCGATGTGAACTGTTTAACATTGGGGTGGTTACTGCATTTGTGTTTCTTACCTCTACATGCATTATCCTTTACTGTGTATGTGGGCATCACAAATACTTCTGAGCAGGATTACAGTAACCCTTCTACTTCTGAGTCCCCTCACTATTCTCGGCCACAACCATGTCCTCCCTTTAGTATGTTCCTGTGAGTTCTCCCCTAAGAACAGTCAAAGCCATGCTCTCAAATGGTGCAGAGCTGGTTAAAAATGGAAAGGGTTGACAATTCCTTGCCATGTTCAGTTCCATCTCTCAACCACGAATCCTAATGAAATCCAAAAGCTAGCTGTAGAGCTCCAGGACATGTACACCTGGCTTAAGATGTCATACAGGGAAAAAACTCCCTTCAGTTACTCCTTGAAGAGCTATAATGCCACATCATTGGTTACTATGTCCTTTTGGACAGCACCAAAGGCAACTGTTATTAGGGCTGATATTAAGCATTTGAGAGCTTATAAAATTGCTGTTCTTTTTTTCCTTGCATATCCATGTTAACTAATGACAGCCGCATGCTCGATTATTAAACAAATTACTTCCTCAGTAAGATCTGAATAATTTCTCAAGCAGTTTCTGGATAGCTTTGTTTTGTAATAATTTGTCATAACTTCAAAGAAATAGAGTAACTGATTACTAACCTCCTTATGAGGATCCTTATGTGCTTCTAACGTCTTCATGATTGTGAGCTCTGCATAATTCTTAAACCTCGCTGGCTGGTTTCTTAGAATTTCTCTTAGAACTTTCAACGCCAAAGCTCTAATTGCATGCTAAAGATTTAATATTAAAATAAATGAGTTACGTATCTTTAAACAGACGTATGTTTTAAAATTTGTTCAGCAGCTGGAAGTCTCTGATAACGGAAAAATATCAGATTATGCTCTACACATATATACAGTATGAACCCAGTGTTAACAAATAAAGCTAGAAAAAAAAATCTTCAGTTTCTCACTCTTCTCGATCTCTCTTTTGGCAGATAACTCAGGTGGCATATCAATACCATGTTGCTAATCTGAGTTACGTATGCTACCCAGAAGTCAAGCTGCAAACAATTTTATGCTTCACAAGTGCTCATAAAACCTTTATCATCATATCATACAAATACATTTTTGAATTTTTTTAAGTAAAAAACAAGTATTACTGTCTTCTTGACCCTCAGTGATTTCAAAAACATGGCCCTTGTAGAGAACAATTACATAGAAGTCAGTCTCTTCACAATGAGCACTACTGTATTATAGAAATATATTTTTAAATGCTTTGCCACACATGATGTTTTGATATTCTAGATTTCACCATGGGCTATTAAGAGATAAACTTTGAATCCCAGTGAAAAATGTTTCATTTCATTATCGTGTGGGAATTGACAAATAACAATACTTGAGAAGGTAAGTATTAGTGATGCCCTTTTCACCATCAGAGCATTCAGACTTCATGACATTTTATATTTCCACAGATTTTTAAGACTAACTGGAATTTATGCTCTTCCTACAACCCATAGAAATCTCAGACATACTGAAAGTAAAACATGTGCTTTGTTAACATTCTTAACTGGATTGATCTGATTTTACCTCTTTATCACCAAGAGTTTCAAGCAGCAAAAGCAGTATTGTTTTGAAGTGCTCATCCCAAACACCAAAAGACTCTTCCTGAGTTAACTTCATGAGCTCGTACAGGGCAGCCTTTCTCTCCTCAACTCTCTCATTATGGTTTGATAATTCTTTCAGTAACTCTGCAACCAGATCGGAATGGTCCATGGGAGGCTCTGTCAAAAAAGAATACACACACAGTTCTCAGATCACTACAAATAAATATCAATGCCTGCTGTATCACTGAATGGTATTTTATAGAATGGCTAGCTGGCTTTCTAGCATGCTTTTATTTTTTCCCCAAATTTTTCTGCAGAAATTACAATTTGGCTACATTTTCAGTGCAGCCAACATTGCTGAGCAAGCTTACAATCACCAAAAAACCCTTAAGCTAGTTTACTGCAAGAGTTTTTATGCTTGCAATACTCAAAGTGCTAAGTGCTCTGCATCCTTTGAAATCTGATCCATGCAAAGTGCCACCCTTCCATCCAAGATGATAACTTTGTCTTCTCTGTTACTATTACGGAATTGCTTAGACTTTGTAAGCCACAGTTGCACAGCAATGGCTAGACTGTTAACACAACGGCGGGGGCGGGGGGAAGGCACGAGAATGGTGCTTGGTACAAAATAGCTGAAATAGAAGCAAACCAAGGCCATTAGTCCCCCAGAGATTCCCAGCAGCAGTCGTTACGAGATGGCTCCAGATTTTAGTTTTGATTAGAGAGGATTCCATGATGACTGAAAAATGCATTAGTAACACAACCCGTATTTGTAAACACCAGACCACAAACTGAGAACTGCCAACAGTCAAATGGTCTTAATGAAAATTCAATACCAAGTTGTTGCCTTTATTCCATCATCAAGAACCATTTAGCCTTTAAGAAAAAAAAAGTATATAGCTTCCATCTTTCACTGAGACTTTTGGATAAATTAACAGAAACACACTTCTTTTTTCCTGGAAAAAGGCTGAAACTATTGGCATAAAATGAAAACGGTCCTGCACTACATCTTTCCTAAAACTGTTCATTTTTTACCATATGAAATACATTTTCCATAAGAAATTTGTTAGTTCTTATACTGAGAAACCACAGCCCTTGAACATCTTATATTACTGTATTCAATATCGTAACTTAGAAATGCTGTACAAAGAAATAAGTAAAAGCTGAGTATCACATCTCAAGTATCTTAAAATCACATATCAGTTACCTTAAAAATCACACTGGTTTTGAACTCAACATTCCTATTTGCATTCTGTTTTGCATGAGTGCTGAGGAGCATAAGCACCTGAAAACAGAAACTTCTTTCTGCAAGCACTTCTACTGTCCTTATATTAATGCACACTTTGTAGACTCTCTAAATGGATCATTAATATTTGCCTGAAGGACAGACTGAAATTTCATCAGGCAAGTTATTAATTAGTACAGATGAGCAATGGACAATCACTTTTACAAAAGCAAGATCATTACTTTTATTACCAGAACTATTACATTTGTTCTACTAAACTGTGCACCTAGTGTTTCATTTCCAAACACTCTCCAGATAAGAATGGAGAAGTGTAAAAAGTCATATTCAAAGTCTACTCTCAAAATTTCTTGTCAGAAAGAAAACAAAACACAAATGAGGAGGAGCAGCTGCAACTCCCTTATTTGAATTAATTAAAATACGCATTGGAGATGTAAACATTTGATGAAGAACAGCTCTTCTCAAACTAATCAAATAATATTCTTTTGACAGGATAAACAGTGTAGGGTTAAAAGGGAACATGTAGGTATGCCCTGAATTTAGTAAAGACAACTGTCACCAATAGCATCTTACTACAGAAGCTATGAAACCATGGCAGCCAAAAAAAGCCAACAAAGTGGGTGCAAAACTGGATGAATCACTTGCAGGGCGACTGGACTACAAATCTTTCTATCAATCTAGGAGGATACAAGTGATGTCCCTGCTCAGGTCTGTGCAGAGCCTGCTTCTGTTTGATGCTTGTTAATGCTATCGAAGGAATATGGAGACCACTTATAAAATCTGCAGATGACACCGATTTAAAAGCAGTTGCAAACATTCTGGAGAACAGGATAAAAATTGAAAATTATCATGATAAATCAAAGGAATGGTCTGAAAGAAAAAAGATGGTAAGCGTAAAGCACGACACATAAGCAGAAATCTTAAGCCCATATACAAAGTGGCAGGTAAAAAGGAAGATGTTTGGAAAACACAGCCCATGGAAATAAGCTGAAATAAGAAAGCTTCTTTGGAGAGGAACACTGTTTTTCAACCAGAGCCTGTGGGCTGCTTTTAAGGAGTCTGGAAGTGACTCAGAAAGCCAGGTTTCCCTATACTTTGGATAAAGACCATCTCCCTTGGTAAAAAAAAAAGTGCTAGTGGTTAGATTCAGGCTGTTACTTTGAAAAACTTTTTACTGTAAGAAAGGCAAATCACTCGAATGACCATGTGGGGTACACTGAGGCTCCTCCTCCACTGATAATTTTCAGCTGCTAGACAAAGCATCTGCCGAATACATGTTCGTGCCTCAGTGCTGCTGAGAGGACTATAAGCAGCTATGGCTTTCCCATCTAGTCCTGTATTTCAGCATCTTTCTCCCAGTAACACATGAGAGGATAGCTGGGAGTCCAGTAAAAACAGTATTTTGTGTCATGAACAGGCAGCAATTCTGTGCAGTTTCTGAATATTAAATCTAGTGTCCAACAGCACTTCAGGTTTATGGGAAAAGAATGCAACTCCTAACTGAGGAATTGTAGGCACAAGGTTATTTTGCTGAATGTATCTTTTTTCATGCAGACTTTTTCAAAGTTATCTTAAATGAAATTCTGAAAGTAACATACAAATGACAGAACGCATATGGTATAACTAAGTAGCAGGGGCGAATACAGGAATGCATGCAAATACTTTGTTAAGATCCATTAAAGAGCAGACATAAATAATGCACTGCACCATTGCTCCAGCCAGGACAAACTAATACTGGATGGGGATGCTTCACTCCAGCCAGTCACAAGTTTTTACAAAACCAGAACATGCTGGTGTAGCAGAGACTGCATTTGGTTTAACGCAATATCCAGAAATATGTTGTCAGAAGGTACAAAGAGGCTTATCCCATGTAAAACAGGATCCCAGTAACACAGACTCTCAATCACAGAATGGCTCTGTATGTGGATGGCAAAGGTATTTAATTACTGGTATTTACATGACATGACTTGTAAAAACTTGCTTTTCCTGAATCTTTTTCAGAAGGTAATAATTGGCCTCTTCACTAAACAAAAGAAAATAGAGAGTAATTTACCTTACTTGTCTTTGTTTTTAATTTAATGTAAACGTAAAGCCAATTTATAGAATAGCTAAATAAAACACCATGTCAGAAAATAGCTTTCTTTTTCAACAGTTTATATCACACATCTTTGACAGAAGCAAAACAGTCAGAAGGGTGAAAGTTCATTTGTCCCTCACCATTAAGAAATTTGTTTACTTAAAAACTCATTTTAATCTGTAACTGAATATGAAATATCAACAACAATGAATACCAGATTATGAAAACCACCTACTACTTTTTAAAATACTGATAGCAGTGATTCTTAGGAACCTTCCCAACATTTAGATATAAAAAATTACCCAAAGATATACTGATAAATATTAAAAAGAAGCTCTAGAAGCCTACAAAACAACAGCCCAAGTTCCTAGATTTACATGGGCTAAATGAACCACCTTCCTGGTAAGAGCTACTTTTTTGTGGTGTGTTTTTTTTTTTTTTTTTAAAAAAAAGAACGTTTAGTCAATATAAAATACCAATGTCATGTTTCAAATGCAAACATATTACCAACAAAACACTTAATCTTTCACCTAATTTCCAAACGAGTTTGATCCAGTTTTACTTCCTTACTGTAAATATTTTTTCTCCTTTAGATTTTGATCATAAAGCAATCTGGTAAGTAAATTTATATTGACAACACTGCTACAGGATGTGCTACCAGAAGTATACAATACAGTTCAACATTTATCTCACTTTTATCCTTAATGTCTACAAATACCAGGTAATCCAACTATGTCACTCGAAAGGATTACTAACAAACAAACTCAAAAAACCTCCCAAAGAAGCGGCACTAATGACACATATACTGCTAATAATAAATCAGGAACTGAACTAAAAGATGGGAAATACCATTTTTCTTCTAGCACAGAATGCAATCTGAAGCTTACCATCAGGAAACTGCTCTGCATCATCATCAAACATGGCTTCTTTCAAAGCAGATTTATTAAAGGAACTGATACCATCAGAATAGTTGTATGGGTTATAATCTCGTGAACGCGGTGAAGAGTGGGGAGGCATTGTGTTGAGTAACGATGTTTTGTTATCAAGAGCTGTTCGGCCTGTATCACTGACACCGCTTCCTGCTCGTAGGTCTACTATTCCAGAAGCACTGCAAATCTGCAGGAAAAGAAATACCGTATGAGCATAGGAAATAGACACTTACATGTTTCAATTAACTATATTATTATTGTCTACATGGCAAAAGCTTACAAATTTAAAAAAGTTTACGAATTTTAAAAAAAATTCAAACTAGCCTTCAAATAAGAAGTCTTAGAAACAGCTTCCTAAACTTGCTCTCCTTCAAAAAAAAAAAAAGAAAAAAAGAAGGAAAAGGAAAGCATACACAGTCCAAAAAATTCATGAACTAGAAACAGCTGGCAGTATTTTATCTCAGAAGTTTGATGCTATGTAACTAAAAACATGTTTAAGCATATACATATTTGGCAAGCTCAACAAATCTGGAAGCCAAAGTTCCATAGAAACAGAAGTTTAAAAACACTGCATGTAGCACTGAAAAACCCATGGGTCTTGTACAGAATAAACTAAAACCTTTGGAAAAACATATATTAAGGTGCAGACCTCTCAAAAACTGAATGCCACCCGTTTTGCAAGATAATCTATTTAAAAATTGCTAACATTTTAAATAAACAAACAGCTAGTGCTTCTTAAAACTAGCATTTACATTTTCAAAATGTGGTTCAAGACGAGGAACATTTTTCTAAAGCTCTGAACTAATTTGGGAGAAGTGTCCCATTTTGGAAGTTCTAACATATAAACCTAATGAAAAAGATGCTTTATCGTCTATAATAAATCAAGTCATTGGCTTGGTTTTCTGGTAGCAAGATGCACTGAATTTAAATACTCACCCCATCGCCATCATCTTTTTTTGAATCTCGTTTTACAGGCTCATTCATATCTTCCTGACTACGAAAACTGAAATTCTGAATGGCTTCAGTGACTCCACGAAGAGAGCTGTAAATATCTTCAGAATTCATATTTTCAGTGTCATAGTCAAATGCACTGTAGACCATGGAGAACAACATAGGAATTAAGATGGATTTATTCTGTGACCCCATATTTTTAAGTGACATTAGCATGCAACTACAGAACCTCAAGAAACATTAACAGAATTATTGTTTTTCTTGAAACACATTAAGGAAGCAGCTGGCTCTCCGCAGAACAAAACTGTATTGTGTTACATCTTCGTAAGTGTTCTGCCATTGACAGAGAAAGCACTGGGAGCAGCTAGCTAATGGAAGGGCTACGTTATGTAGCAGCAATGTGCCTGAAAAAACAAACTTCTTTGTCTCTGTTTTACCCTTAAGAATATGAAACAACTGGGATATTTATCATTCTCTCTTTCTGAAAAAAGTTCCAAAGTAAGGATGACTGATAAAATTCAACAGTTTTTGCAGTAAGTTGATTGCTAAAAGCAAAATCACAAAGTTCACTTTGCTGGCAACACTGGTACCGCAAAATTGAAGACCAGAACATTCATGTACTATGTTTTCTGTCTCCCCAACATTAAGTCTCATTTGATGACTTGGCTGACCTATTCTAACATTTGCTAGAGATGAAGACTTCCATTCCTTCTCTTGATAGTCCATTTGCACTCCAAGGTGCACAGCCCTTCCCACCTCAGGCCTGCCGCCCTTGCACTTGTCAGACCCTTCAAGGGGGCTAAGCACTTCACTGCACTGTCTTCTGTGGAGGGTGGGGGATCATTATTCAGCATCTGTCACTTTATGCAAAATTCGCTCCACGCTTTCACTGTTGGGGTTACATTTTGGATAACGTGTACTGAAGCCTTAGATGCAGAACTGTAGCAACACCAGCCTACTTTACCTTGGTGACAAAGTGTTCTGCGACGTATTGGTTGGGGAAGTGAGAGGACTTGACCAACTTGCTGGGGAGCGTGGAGTCGGCCTTGTTAAAGGACTTCCCATTGATCCCTGGAGGAGGAGAGGTGAGAAGAAATATTCCAGTAGGACTTCAGCTTCCCTTTTAATTATTCTATTTATTTTCTAGTGTCCAGAAACATTTAAAGAGCTTCTATTTAATTTCCTGGATGAGTTAACCAATTACTAGTAACTTCAATCAGGTATAACTTTGAAATGAGTAAAATAAAATATAAACTACTCTTAAAAAGCATTTTCAAACTTATGAAGTCACTTTAAAGTAACATAGAAAGTTATCATTCTCTGGAGGAAAAAGAAAAGGCATTCCATAAATAGTGACATCTGCTACTAAGACAGACTTCTACATTGAGTTTGTGTTGCCTCCCCTCCTCTACCAACCTTCTTGCTCTCACAAATAACTCTACTGAAACAGACTGATGTTCAAAACACCAGTAACTTGAGAAAGAATAATAAGAGAGGTGTAGATACCTGACCACTGTTGCCTGTATTCCGGAGATGATTGTGGAGAAGCTTTGTGGCTCCATCCTGAAATGTTTTTGGTAAAGCACCCAACAGCATTGTAAACTCTGGAGTGTTGAGTTCAAAAAGGGAAATCAGCACTGACTGCGCAGCCTAGAAGAAAAAAATACAGATCGAAGACATTAATTTAAGTTTCTAAAGTAATTATACCAGCAAGAGATGCTATAATGAGTGGTAATCACAAAACATGACTTAACATTTTTATTCAAGCTTCATCAAGACTTAACAGATGTGAACAAAAGCAATTCATATTTGCTGGAAGTTCAAATATTGATAAATCCAGGCACACGACAACAAGCTTAGACTTTGCACAACTATTTTAACAAGCAGTCTTTCAGAAACATGCTCCTCACTCCCCCCACCCCTAGATCCCTATCGACTAAAAAAAGTACTGAAGGAACTCACAAAACTGCTTTTAAAGGGTTTCGTAAGTTGAACAAATTTAAGGAGAGGAATGGAACACACCAGGTAGGAACAAGCCTGCAATTCCTTCTCCTGAGTTCTGCAAGTGGTAATTACAGATGACGGATAATCAACACACTAGCTTGAAAAAAGGCTATTGTTTTTGAAATTGAAAAAACCCAAATCAAACAGATAACCTAATTTGCAATAAGACAGTCTTGATTTTGAGTTGCAATCACAGCACTTGATATTCTTTATAACTCATCCCACAGCCAAACTCATTAGTTAACCTCCCTCCCCCCTTCCCATCCCACATCCTCTATGTTTTTAAAAGACAGCAAACATCATGAGGAATAATGTAGCTGACTATGTATTCTAAAGATGAAAACTATTAAGTACTGCAGTTTGTAGTCTACTGGATATAACCTCCCATTTCCTCAATTTTAATAGTTCATCTTTAACATCATCCTCATCCTACAGCATGTTTTACTACATATATTTTTTTTATCCAAATCAAAAATCAGAGCTCTTTACTGACAAAGCAATGCAGGAAGTTACACAACGGATGGGCTCCCTCTAGTAAAGGAACGTTGACTGCATGACTTAGTAATGTTTGTACAGTTTGATGAATATTGACTGGATAGTCTAACAAACCTGTCAACATAGCAACTAAACTAACACATGCAATGAAGGGCTAGACATTGAGTTCTCCAGAATTGTTTCGTTTTTGTGGCACAAAACTCCAACTCTAAGATTAACCAACTATGTCTAGTTTATACAGCTCACCATCAAGGTCTGCCATGCACTGGAGAGAACCAGTGCCTCACGCTAGACAGAATGACAGGCAGCTTGCTTAAGCAGCAATATACTTCAAGCAAGTAGTTTAGAAAATTCTTTTGGACATTTATTTCCCTCCTTTTGCTTCCAGAGCAATGAACTGTAGCATTTTTTAATTAAAAGTGGAAAGCAAAGGTATGAGCACACATACCAGCACACATCTCAGTATTAAGTTTAATGACAAAAATATTACCATGTTAGATTGCCACAAATTATCTTTGCACACTCGTGACTGTTTTCTTTAACTTTTATTCCGTTCTCCCTCTGATAGTCTTCCCTTCAAGTGAACACCCTGAATGCCCTCTACAATCTGTCTTTAATGTTTCACTTTTCCTTGTTATTTCTTATGGTCAGTCTCTTAACAGAAATTCATACAAAGCAAGACCAAAACAAATCCAGCAAATGAACAAAGGCTTGGGAATTGCCACTTTCCTTTTTCTGTCCTGTTATCCATGTCTCCACTCCCTAACACTATGCCTATGTAAGCTGCCAATAAAATAACACAATAGACAGCCCAGGGTCATATCAGGAAAGAAACTGATACCGTCAAGTCTGCTCAAAATGAAGCTCAACCTAAAATATCAGAATTGATATTAACTCACAGAAGGTTTTCAGCTATGCAATTATCTATGTTCTCTCTCTTGACCAAAAAAAAAAAAGGCATTTTAGAGTATTTGGAGGTTTTACTTCTCCTCAGCATAAGCTTTCTCTCTTGAGGTTTAAGTCCAGTCATACAGATAACATCTTTAAAAGTCTGCAGTAACGATTCAAAGTACTTCCTTGGTTTTGTTTTGTTCTCAGAAGAACTCCAACACTCTAATTCTTTCCAGAAGAATTCTGATCTCAGGAAAAAAAAAAAAAAAAAATCTAAGTTCTGAAACACAGGATTTTACCTTCCAGAAAGAAGTCCCATGTCACTGAACTGCACTACGAGTGCCCAACTTCAAATGAATAAAATAAAAAAAGATTTTTTTTTTTAAAAAAAAAAAGACAAAATCTTCAAACCTGTCAGTTATACACTTGTCAAAACCTCATTTATATAAATCATACTAAATGCTATAAGCTTATTAAAATAAATAAAATGAATAAGCCTGAGATAGCAGGCTGTGAAGCCTGTTAAGAGAACGAAACATTTTATACCATCGGAACAACTCTTGACCACATACTGGCGAAATTTTATTTTCAAAAGTTATTAAAGGCTTTTGGCAGTTAGTTGCCTCTAACAATTGTGTTATGGAAAGAAAAAATAAAATGAGAAAACTTCCTATCAATTAAGGTGTTCCAGATGATTAATCTCACTGGCAATTCTTTCCATGATTCAGTTACTTATTGACATAAAAATGCTTATTAGAGATATGAACCATCAGATAAGACAGCTTGCCACGTGTCTTAGTACTAAAACTTTACTGATTTAGAAGATAGTGCTGCTTCAATTCTCCTCCTGTTTTATGGTCTTATATATGTCACTAGAACATGGTACTAGGCGAGAAAAGTCCATAGCATATTTACTGCTTTGTCATACTCATGAATTTACATAAGGAGTGAAAGACAGAAACATTATCTCCAAACATAAACTCCCCTATGTTGTTTTTTTAATTACAAACTACAAACATGGCTTCTTTCAAAGCAGGTTTATTAAATGTGATACCATCAGAATAGTTGTATGGGTTATTACTTCGTGAACATGGTAAGAAGTCGTGGAAGTTATTTTTATTTTTGTTCTCTTCACATTACATACTTTGTGAGACAGCTCCCATTGTTTTCTCTCAATTCTCTCCCACAAAATACCCCTCCTAGAGAAAGAAGTTTTGGTACTGTTTCCAGAAATTATGGAGTTGACAAAACTCAAACTTAATTGAAAATAGCAAAGGAAATCTAAACAAATTAACTGTTGCAACTCTTCAAACTGCAAAAATAAACCAAGAAAAAGAAACAGAACAGTTAGTTCCCTGTGTCAAAGACACTTGCACTTATGAGCCATAAAGTTAATATGTTTTATTTAGCATTCAAAAAGTGTTAGCATGCTGATTATGGCAGCCAAGGCAGAATGGCTTGTGACAATCAGAACAACAACAAAACCCTATTCCAAAGTGCAAACAAAATTCAAGATTTTTCTTTCTGTAATTGGAAGGAATATTTAGAAATCCTTTCCAAAGACTGTATTAGTACATTTCTCATGGCCATTCTGTATCCCTGGTACATCTACGTAGCTCATAAATACTAATTTTCACTTCACAACAGTTATGTGGAGAAGGGAGTTTTGCACTGGAACTGCAGCACCACAAGAACAAACCTTTGATAGTACCTTATTAAAGCACAAACTTTCTTTTGTCAAAGGGTCAACAGTTCTTTACCTATCTTTTATTAAACATTTAACAAAATTTAAATTATTTATTTATAAGGATTGTAGAAAATGCAACAGATTGAACCGAATTTGCGAGCAAACTTACCATTCCTGTTATGAATGTGCTACTAGTAACAGAGGGTGGTCTCTGAAGTAATATTAAAACTGTATAGAAAATACCCACTGAAGAGGTTTTAATATCAGACAGTGCTTGAAAAAGTTACTCCTCATGAGAGATAATCTCGACATATTGACATATGCGAAAATACAACCCTAATGGAGAGTTTCAAGATGTGTTAATTTTAAATTTTTACTTAAATATTCTTAAACATAGAATTTTTTGTGAAGTTTTACTTTGCCACTTCTGATACTTCACACAGAAAAATTAGCTGTGTTTGCTAAGGATAAAAAAGTATCTTTTCTCTATAAAAGAATAAGTCCGGTTTTAAAGAAAAATTATTTTGTCATTTAGGCAAGAAATATTAGCTTCTCTAATTTGCCACGATACTTGGAATATACTGCAATTCCAATCACACATTAACAAACATACCTTCCTAACATCTGAGCTTTTAGGTTCTGTGGTCCAGGTGATGATTCGAGACACTGCTAACCTTGTTTCACTTGAATTTACAAAATCTCCTGGATCCATCTGTTGCGCAAGAGTCTCTATGTATTTAAGGATTGCAACTTTGACCTGCAAAGAGAAACAGAGTCAGGCGGACAACAAAAATGGTGTGCTGCAAGAACAAATGTGCTCACAGAATAGTGTTCGCTCCCTAAAATAATTTTTTTTTATTCCCCCTAATTCAATTAAACATCTTTTCAGCACTAATCTAAAACTCTATACAATAAATCAATTTACAAATGGATATAACATTTAAAGGAGGGAGTTATTCCACAGAAATTCAAGTATTAATAGAAATCTTAGATTTCACTGGTAGCAACTAAAAGATACACAAATCATTGCATATACAGAAGCTTATATTTAACAAAAAGAAAACCAAATTGCTCAGAATATTTACAAATAATCAGGGTTTTAAAGAATTATTCAGAATTATTAAGAACTTAATTTTCAAGTACTAAAATGAAAAATGAACATCACCTGATGAACCAATAACCAGTTCCTATTAGTTCCTACTATGTAGTTACACTCAGCATTATTTTATAGAACACCAGAATTGAGCAGTCACTATCGCTGGGGATAAGCGACACAAATTTTCCCATTAAATACTAAAAAGGTATGGAATAGAATTTCTACAAAAGACATAGAAGGGGTCACACACACACTTCTCCTTTGAAGATATTTAGAAGACAGAGATTTAGCGGGAGGACAGAAAAGCTGCTTTACTCCCTCATTTATCTGAGCATCATTCTCCTACTCCACTAGCTCCCTCTACCCCCAAATGCAGATTCTCTGTTCTGTACATCCCAGACTGCAGCCTCTCTCTAGTTTCTCCAAAACTGCACCATTGCATAGCTTTGGGCAAAGGCCTATTATGCCCGTATCTCCCTTAAATATTTGTCTCCTCAGCTCCTCCTGCCCCAGAGATTTGTCACACAAACCATCAACAAAAGCGGTGAACATTTATTTAGACCACCTGTTTGACTTAGCTGCTTTTATTTCCACTAATAATTATACTGAACGCAAGTATCTGCCAGGAGGGAGACACCTACGTCCATCATAACCAGAAAGAAAAAGAGTTTGGGGTATATTTTTAATTGTTCATGGCTTGTAGTACAACTGTTCTGAGCAATGCTATTCAGAAATTTCCTTTGGTCATGAAAATTGCAAGCTGTTGAAAACTCAAGATACACTAAGTGACACACACATTACTGATAGCTGATACATGTAGATTAATAACGAATATCTCATTTTTACAGCAGCTGTTAAAATTCTCCGAAGTTATACAACAAGCAACAGCTGGAGGCTTTCATCTTGCACAGATCAGTATCAACAAATGCAGTCAAAACCACACTATTGGCTAGATTCTTTCCAAGGAAAAAAAACCCCACAAACACCTCCACAGCAAAAAACCTTAGGCTACATGGTTTTCCAAATACTAAATACTAAAATTTCTAATTACCAAGTGAAACCACTAACAACAGCATTACGTTTCACTGTTCATGATTTAAATATATATAATATCACACCTTAAAAAAAATTACTGTTAAGAACTGTAACACTTAGAACATCCAGAGGCATTTCTCCCAATGAAAAAATGCCGGAGCACTGTAACCAAGAAAGCAGCATTATTTAGTGTCTAAACTACTCCCACAGAGTGAATCTCAGACTTCTGGAAAGATGGAGGCTCTCAGGAGACAGAAGAGCACTGAACAGAAAATGAATGGAGAGATTTTGCACTAATAAAGCTTTTCACAGCAAGACAGATATCCAAAGCTAAGTCTGACAGCTATTTTCAAAGACTGTGTTTTCCACTAATTGCTTTTGAGAGTAGTAGTTCCGGAAGGGGTACCTGTCTATGTGCAAATATAATGAGACAGTATTACTATAGATAAAAAAAAACACCTCAAAGTAAACTGCACAACAGCAGCAAATCTAATTATCATGTATTTTTTGTCACTATTTACAGTAATTATGTACAGAGTTCAGATTTAGAAATGAAAAGGTCTAACACAGTCCTTTTCAACAATCCATTCAATCTCTCCGAGAGAAGAGATAAACTATTTTTGACTGCAATGAAAGCAGCTCCAGGATTACAATGAATATTTGCCATTAATGTGACACTGTCTATGAAGTTGTTCAACACTGCCTGGACTTTATTTGTGCTCTTCTAGGTTGAATTTCTTGGACTTTTGCTGGACTATACACACTGAGATATTTTTACTCTACAGCATATAACAAACAGACATTTTGTTGAAGAATAGCACTGCTGTGGTAAATGAGCTGAAATACAGATCAAGCCACAACTAGCACTACTACTCAAAAAAAAAAAAAGAGTAGACACAAATGGAAATAAAGTGCTTCATAAACACCTTTCACAGATACTGAAACGACAAATTCTGGCACAAAAACACATGCAACTACCTCCAGAGATTCAGGAAATACTGTAAGGATGCTACACAGCCAGTGCCAAAAGGCAAATTATTTTCCTGTCCTGTGAAAAATTTGAGACAGTTTCATCTGCTGCATAAGGGTAAGACAAAAGAAACATTACACATAACAGGAAAAAAGAAAAAAAAAAAGGAGACAGGAATGTAGAGAAGCTGCTTTACTTAAACATAAAAAAGTCCATCTTTTAGAGTGCTTTTGTGGGATGTGAGAGACTCTGTCCTGCCTTACTCAGATTCAACACAAGCAATCACGTGAAGTGACTTTCAGATTGCCACATGGCAGGTGTCTGTCCTTAACTTACTGGATACTTAGGAGTGACTGCCTCTGCCGCTACTTAACCAAATGACTAAAGTATACACTAAAGATGAATTTTGAAGGGCGCTCTCATCTCCGTAAAGCTGTGTCATTGGTTGGTTGTTTTTTCTCCTTAATTGAGAAATTTTAATATGGACTTAGGAAAAAAAGATCTTCTGATCAACTGCAGCAAAAACCTTTGTCAACAAATCAGTATTTTCAAAGGAAAGAATGGTTCAGAAACTTGTAATGACCTTTGGTCACAATGCTTAAATCAATTCCTCACTTAGTGTGAGTCATTTGAGATTCAACCCAAGAAAAATGAAAGTGATGATCTGAAGTGTATTTCAGGACAACACCCATCCTTTGGCAAGCATATGTTCTGCACCTGCAAAAATAAGCTTAACAGATCATATCCCATCTAGGAAATTTGACTTCTATGCCCACCCATACATTTGACCAAAACAGAAATACACATCTGACACCTCTAAACTGTGTTTTAGCAGTTCACCACACCTGAATGTAAAATAACAGCAAAAGAAAGAAAGATAGATCAAGTACAATACACTGTGTTGCATCCTCCATGGATTAGGTCAGTAGAACTACATCCACTCTAGGTTTGGTCCTTTTACTGGCTAGCTATCCAAATCTACCTCTGTGGCCACTCTAAAAGCTTGACTTGTATTGTCCCAGACTTAGGTGTAAGAACGACAATGACAGTTTACTCTAAAAGATCACAGTTATTTACTAGTACCACATGAAAACCAGAGGGAAAAGTCATTTGTAGAAGGGGATCCTTCCACAGAGCAAATTTATGATTTATCATCCCTTCTTATATCTGTCTTTAAGGATGCTGAAAATCCTTTTCTGATTTTTCCTGTCACAGTAAAATGCTGTTTCTCAGTATATCTGGCCCAAAGGCATGCTCTGCAACAAAACAATAATTTCTCTGAGTAAGAACAAAAGCTGAAGACTTCAAGAAATGCAGCAGTGCTCTAGGGTTATCAATCTGTCAGACATCTGGTTGCACTGAGGATGGGATTTAGACAAAGTATTCAAGAATGTGAGTATTAAATAGATACTGCTGCTATTTACATTCAGTAACTTTACTGTCTGGATCCTGAAGTTGTAGTTATCTCAAAGATGCAAGTAGGGGGTAGATACCACTTTCTTCTGAAAGTAAGCTTATCTTCTCATAAACAGTTACATACTTTCCCAAAATTTCATTTTAAATATCCTTGATTTTATTTCAAACTAACAGGTGTTTTTCTATGGAGATAGTTTTTACTGACATCTTGATTTCAGAAGTCTCTCTCAAATACTGGAAATAATTTTCAGAATGTCTTCCCATTATGTGTTTCAGATTTTGTTAATTCCTTCTAGGTTGCACAGTGAATATTCTTAAACTTAGCCCCAACTCAACCTAGTAGGAGTCCATGTCCCGTTTCAAATCTACACACTCAAGTTTGAAACATGATTGATATGTGCTTACCAACTATGTTACTGTATGGAAAATAAAGAGTATCTCAACCATCAAATTCACCTTCCTGGGAAGGAAAGCCAAGCAAAACAAAACCAAGCCAAATTTGTTCCAAGGATTTATTTAAACAACAAACTGATTTTTACTACCTCATTTGCTGTCTTCAATAAATGACAGCAGTCCCTTTTTAACACAGCTCTACGAAGCAACAGTGGTCAACGTATCAACTGTCCTCAAAAGCTTAAAAACATAAGTTTTACTGTATTGTAGACAAAAAAGGCATAGTCATGTGACTTTAGGTTCAACAGAACTTGGGAATAGTCATATTGTTGTGCAGTATCAAACTACATAAAAATATTTCGTGCAGAATAGAGCAGAAAACGCCAGTTATCATATGCTTGTTATTTCCCCATTTACGTCACTTAAGTCTTAGAATTTGATGCATTTATCCTAAAATCAACTCTCTTTGGAACTGTAAATGCACTGCAGAATACATTTTAAATTTTCCATTATACCGGCAGGTTTATGAACTATAGATCCTTATGTAAAAATGTGTGTAATTATAAAGCTACACACTGCTTTCAGAAAAGTAAGTGTACCTCAAAGGGAGCTGATTTTTAATATAGTAATTCAAGTTCATATTAATAGTAGAGCAATTTCAATTAATTCAAGACCTATCAGGCTGAACACAGGAAAAAAAATATATATTAACTAGGAAAACACGATTGGGAAATCACAAACATAAAATTAGAAAAGACTTGATAGAGTGAGTTTGCATAACCAGCTTGATGTTAGGCGGCCACATTTTTGTTGCTCATTTTTACTGTACTGTGGTTTTATTAGATCTCTCTTGCAGCAAACATTTTCATACTCATGTAATGTTTAAAATTTAACATCTGCATGCTTAAAGTTTGTCGCAAAGGTTAGTAGCAGCATACAAACGCATACAAATAAAAATTATTGGAAACACTGTAAGAGTGACATAGGGTTAAGAATAAAGACAATAATTCAGACAAAAACCTTTGAGCTCCAAAAAGAGCGAAGCTGGTCCTGTAGTGCTGGCTTGACTGTCTGAAAGTTTACAAAAACAAAATCCACTAATTGAAAACTTTTTTTTTAAAAAAAAAACCAAAATAAACATAAACAAACCAATTTCAAATATTAAGACAAGCAAATGTCTATCAATGAAGATTTTTGTTTGCAACGCAAGCCTGAAAATTCTTACCTTCAGGCTGGGTGTTTGGGTCTGGTCAACAGTGAATCTCATTAAAATACTGAATTGGAGATCATTTGGAAAAGATTCCCTGTAAAACAAATCAAATCATGTTAAGTTACGTGAAATGTTCTTTTAATACCTGTTGAGAGGCACTAAATAAGCCCTCACTTTTTCAGTAATGGAAAGCTTTATTACTTCTAAAATAAAAAAATTTCTACTAGTTTTGTTGATATTGTATCTGATTTTCAGAAACATTCACTGAGCATGTAAAGGACAAAATTTAAGAAATTCCCACTTTGAAGCCATTACAGGTAGAATAGATAATGCAAGTAATAAGGAATGATATAATAATGATATGGTAGTATTCTGATTCTGAATCTAAATGCAATCCTTAAATTAACAGGCAGTCGTACTGCTAAGGGTACACACCACACCCCTCTTGCACACTTCTCTGGACCATCTTGTTCCACTCTGGGCCGCCTCTGCTCTCTGACATTGCACACACTCTGGGTATGACCCTCAAGGGCTCTGCTGCAGCAGCAAACGAGGTGCAGCAGATCATATTCTCTCTCTCCCCAGAACATACCCCATATCCTTCCCCAGATTTCACATCAGATCTGCCATGTTCAGCAGAGGCCCAGACTGCTTAGACTGTCCTGTACCTCAGAGAATAGACGATGAGAAGTAGGTCCCAGAGTCCCTCCAAATCCGCTTAAAAATCTAGCTTTCATTTGGAAATGAAACTGGCCAGGGGTGGGCAGCTCTGATCGCCACCAAAATCACCTAACATCATTTTGGAATGAGGCTATTAGAAGTTTGGGGAAAGTGGAGGGAAGACAGAAAGCAAATCCACTATTGCCATTAACTCCTTAAAAGCCTGCTAACGTTGAGACAGATACTGCAACAATATTTTTCTATCAAAACGAAGTTCAAACACATGCACTGTATCACTGAACACAAGGCAAGATAACAAACATATATGGCTCAGATGCACATTTTGAAATCAGAGAAGTAGTATCATATTAATTATTCAGCATTAAGTACTCAAACCCTTTCAACTAAAGGTCACTTAGGAAACTAAAATGCTTAAGCAGCAAAGTTTACTGAAGTTCCACAATCTGTTAGGAGCTTTGCATTTTTCCAAGAATCTCATAGCACACTAAAAAAGCCCAAAAACTTGGAAGTAGCATGAGGGTTTGGATTTTTTTCAGTGGTTTGTGGTTGGTTTTTTTTTATTAACTCATTACCTTGTGACATCAAGTGCCTTCTGAACTTTCGCTTGTACAGACCCAAGCAAATCAGCTCCCATTTTTTTCAACAGCTGTGTCAGCAGTACAAACAGCCAGTCCTGCAGATCTTCTTTATGGACCTGGATAAAGTCCACCAGTGTCTCCAAAAACATACTGAACACCTAAAAGGCAGAAGAAGATGGAAAGAGGGTAGGATGGGGCAAAAGAGGAAACGACACTGACGTATGCTGAGCTTACAAACAAAGAAGAAAGCAGTAAGGGAATCAGAGGCAGAGAAAGGCAGTGCTTTGCAGCCAAGCAGGAAAAAAAAAAAAGAAAAAGAAAAAAGAAATCTGTCTTGCTCTTTCATTGGATTTTGATACAAGAGTACACTGGAAAAGTTAGCTGACTTCTGTAGAAGTTTGACAATTAGGTATTCCATGCAGTTTCGTCAAGAAAAGAAATGCTTACTGTGATGGCTGGCGCAACCTCAATTTTCTCAGTAAAACTTAATTTTTTTACCCTTTCAAGCTTTATCATTAAGTTGATTTGACATATTCCTTGAACACTACAAAACTTTCTCTCTAAAACAAAAAAAGATGCTACAATAATTTACCAAAATATTAATTGTAAATATCTGCATTACTAAATACTGCAAAATCATGAAAGCTGGCCAATTCCTTTACATAAAGTATTTGTGGAAGAGAACAAGATCCTTCTGCTATTGCAGGTATCCAAACACAGAATTATTCACCAAAGCAGGGAAAAAAGCCATGATACACTTCAGATGGGCAGGTGTTTAAAACACAGAAGTACTTCCGTCTTTTCATAAACGTTACCTACTGTGTTCTTTTCAACAAATAATGCTAAGCACGATAAAGAGAAACAATGTTGAAAAGACTGCATTCAGTAAAAAAAAATTATGTATATTGTTGTATTTAAAGTAACCTCAGCACTCAGACCAGGAAGAAGGACTTTTTGGAGGGAAGCAGTAAAGCAGGGCATGACAAACAGCATCTCACTAATTCTAGTATCTCACTAATTTCATGGGGTTTTTTTCAAGACTTATGCAAAATCAGGATGTATATGCTGTATACCAGTGTGGCCCACAAGTTTCTTGTTTCTCTGACAAGAGAAACGGGTGTTTGGCCTGAAAACGCTACCTTCATAACTGATACACGCTCCAGCTCCAGCATGTAGCTGGGTACAGAAGCAGAAGTATTGCTATGATGCAAGGAGAGTTGGAGAGGTATTGCCTGTCTCCTGAGTATTTATGACATGGGTACAAGGTTGTAGATAGCTGCTGTGGAGGAAGGGCTGGAACCCCACATCCTTCTGTGGCTGACCTGGCTTGTCCTAAGGCCAAATTCTGCTGCTGTCTGTGAGAGTGGATGATCCCAACCTGTGATCATATCTCATGTGGCTGCAGAAACCTGTCCACAAAGTGGGCTTTCTTCCACAGCACTGATCACGTACAGAGGAGTCAGTGCATGCTCCTGCATGCCTTCATTGCTGAGGAAATTAGATCTCTTTTCATGTTGATAATCAAGCCAGGGCAAGTAAATTCACATCATAAAGTGAAAAAACAATCCATACAAGTATCTTTAAAAGACGTGCCTTGAAATTGACATTAGACATAAAAAATGCATTCAGATTCTTTTTGCTAAGAAAGGTTGGACCAGATGATCCTTGAGATCCCTTTCAACCTTATATTCTATGATTCTTTGAGGATCTAATAAACACCAGGGAAACTCTTTCAATAGACATCTTGAACACTAGAAACAATTTTCGTTAAAAACAAAACAATACAAATCCTACCCAACATAAAGTCCATCAGGATAAGCTACCTGAACTTCCCTTTTGTGGCAAACTACACTGAAAACTGTAAAGAAAAAAAATTTTAAAATTTGCTAACTCCTCTCTGCTGTCTAGATTTGCATTCAAGTCTGAGGTTTAAAAATTACTGTCCCACTAGTGGGAAGATATTTTTATGCTTGGGATTGGAAATGGCTTCTGTATTCAGCTGAACTGAAACAATACACTTTGTGGATGCACAAGTTAAGGCCTACGCAAAACCAAACCAAAAAGTACTTTCTACATTGTAGTATGACAGCCTTTGTAATTCACAGCCCTAAAATAAGGGTAATATAGATAGGACTTAGGCAAACAACCACAAAAAAATTCTGGTGCTATAAAGATTACACTGGGGGTCTTACAATTGTATTAAAAACCCTTCAAATTAAACTATACAGCTCAGCAGAATTAAAAACTGTACCTGTTTCTTCAAATTTGCAGACACTGACACACACATCTCTTTCATTAAAATGTGCAAGCTGAACAAACTGGTTATAACCTCTTATTTGATGGAGTAATGTGGATTTCTTATTACACTTTAAACATGTAAAGTGGTTTAAACTGAAATAATTGTGAAGTGAATTATGAATCGCTATGGCAAAAGTACTCTAAAGAGCCTGTGCCAATGTTTAGTTTACATATAACTGAGGACTCAATTTTGTTTTCAAGCTTCATTTGATTTTAGGTTTACTATAGTGAATCTTGGGAGAAAACTCAAATCAGTTGAGTCATTTTGTTGTATTTAAAAAAACCAGGAATCATACCATTTTGTCTTAGGCCAAAGCATGAATCATTTAAGAAGGCACTAAGAGCATTTAAGGTAAAGGATGAATTTGGAATGGAAAAATGGAACTCAGCCACCTATATGTTGAACAATGTACATGGGTACTGCAATTTTTGCAGTTTCCATTTTTATGATGTAAATTAAAATTCTGAAATCAAGCATCTAAAGTTGAAACTTTTAATAATTTGATAGTGGAAAAAATAAACAGATACGAAAATAACTGTAAGTGATCTACTGTAACGTGAATTATTTCAGATGTGCAAACCACCACAATATAAAGCATGAATGCACAACCAAACAAAGTCAGTTAATTAGTAGATAAAGCACATCTCGAAACTTTACCACACAGTTTACATAATTGTATATAGCATTTTATGATTGCAAAAGGCTTGACACTGCATGAACTCTTTGGGGAAGAAAAATAGAGAAAAAGGGTTAATTGCACATTCATGCAAGTAAGGTTAGGCTTCCAACAAATATTGAACCAACTTACTCTCTAAAGAGAGTTCCAACACAGGGGACAGCATGCAAAATGAAACAAAAACAAAATAAAACAAAACAAAACAAAAAAACAACAAAAGGGAAAAAGATAAAAACACACAAATTAGTGGCCATCAATACAAAGTTCCTGTATGGAATATAAAACAAAATAAAACAAAAAAGGTATTTTAGAACTTTTATGATAAATTCGGTAATTTTATTGGGATACCCAATGTATTTTAAAAGTAAGCACTTGGCATGTCCTTCATTCTCCCATTTTCTCCTCCAAACGATATTACTCTCTTTTTCTAAGCAATTCCCTACATCCAGCTATCATGTTAAAGTAAACCTTTAAAAAAAAAAAAAAAGAACAAAAAAGTGATGACAGGATAATTCCTACAGACACTTGAAAAGAGTGTAAGATGAGATTTGTGTAGCCATATGCATGTGAAAAAATTCACAGCTCCAACTCTTAATACTTAGAGGATCCTTCTAATAATATATTGATAAGTATGAATAGTTTTGCAACACCAAAAAGCAGGCAAAGCTTCAGTGACTGGAACAAGTGTACCACATGTGCTATGTAACACAGGCCAAATTTTCAAAATCAAAGCAAGACTATTTTATGTTACAATGCCCAGCAAAAAAAAAAAAAACCAAACAACAATCAGAGTAATTAAATGTAACATTCCTAAAGGCTTAATGAAAAGATAAAATGCTCTTTTGACATACAACTAAACAGTGTAACATTTTTGTTGTCCTTCCCATGCTCCCCCACTACAAAAAAAACCCTGCAGGGTAGTTCTGACATATGCATAGCTGCAACATTAACATAAGAACAAGCAAAATTACACCAAGCTGCTATTCACAATTTTGTCATTACTTCATTTAAAACCCAGTAATATTTCAACACTTAATTTTCTTCCTCTCCTCTGACTTAACTGTTCTTTTTATGGAATGTTTTCTTCAGTTTCTCTTTAACTGCTTGGCTTTAGTCTTTTCTTCTGGATTTCTGCTGTATGTGAGCAACTTTAATACGTTGCTGTGTGCAGTGCAAGTTTCTTCCAAAATACGTGGTGTCACAGATAGCAGCTAAAGCACTTTTTCCAGCAGGAAAAATAAGGAGGACAGATGAACACTAAGTTAACTTGTCAAGACTTCTCATCACTGAATTTAATTTTCCATTACAGCAATAAGGAAGACTTAAAAACACATAAAATGTATTGCATAATCAAAGTCATTGTTTAGAGTTCTACTAGGAAAAGCCAATACTTCCGAAATAACTACTTTGCTTTGTATTTTTCTGGGTTATCATTTTATCAATTCTGCAACATGGACACAGAGTGGGACATGCTATACTCAAAATAAAAAGTAAGGTTTCTTCCAAACAAGCCTACAATTCAAACAAACTATGGAGTTACATGTTTTTTACATGATGCCATTATAAATTTATTCAGCTCCCTACTTACCTGCAGTCCTTTTGCTATGGCAAATTACTGCATATGAAGCTGTACTAGTAACCCACCTCCCACAAAAACTGTAAAAATATTATCAAGCGAAGTAACTCGGTTAAAAAGATTTTAAGGGTCTTAGAAAACAGAAAGATTATTCTCCTTGTTATATCATCTGCACTGGGTCTTTACCTACGTAACAGTGAATAAAACATTGCATTTTCTTTTATATGTAAGTACAGTCTCCATCTTACTTACTGGATACTACCAATTATGTAGAAATTATTCAACAGTCTCAACTGCCAGCCCTATCTACGAAATTCAAGGAAGACATCGTAAGCTATGATAATACAAAATATCCTGGAAAATAAGTAAGTACACATCCAGTATAGTTCATCAGACTCGTGATGTATTACTTGGGCCATTTTCTATACGATTTAAATTATTGCATCGAGCCTTTTGTTTCTAATTGAGAGAAAACCATTACTCATGCCAAAGTGCTTCTGAAAACAACATGACTGAAAGATACTTACAAATTTTAAGTAAACTGTTGAACTACTTCAGTGCATTTTAGACGAAACTAACTTTTACTTTATTTCAATTATCCTGCAAAACAGGTGGAAAAATTATCTTGTTCAAAACTGCAAATTAAATGGATTGAATTCTGATACCGTTAACTTCTAGAACACAGTTTGTTCAATGTTTACATGTGCAAATATCACTGACGTTTTAGCACAACAGGCTTTCTATCAATACGTATTTTCAAACATTTACTGAAAGTAAGAAAAACTTAAACATACCTTACTGTGAGGATCAGCAAACATTCTTGTGAAGATTTCACACAACCTTTTCAACTCCACACGACTGTCAAAGGGACAACAATACATTAGTCAACTCCCTTGCTAGTACTGCCGGAACAAGAACAGCGCATAGCAATCAGTGAAATCAACGGACAGAACGGACACGGATAAAAATGTAATAGATTTTGTCTAAAATGAGACTTCTGACCTAGAAATGTCTCTTTAAACTAACTCATATATTACAGCATTCCTGACTATTTTAACAGAGCATATAATAAAAAAATGTACTGTTAGCAGCTAGTAGTAAAGTTTCTTCTGAATAAGTACAACAACAACAACAAAGGTCTTCCATCAATACTAGATGCAAGCACTTCAGGAATCTTTGTATTGCAAGAATTCTCTTGATTTTAAATTCCATTTCCTAAATTGAGCTTTTTATAAATGGTTCCTATACTCTAGTGACTAGAAGTGACAATAGCTTCCCCAGTCCTTCCCCCATCTTACTCTCACAGACACACACCCTGCTTTCCCTCTCCACAACTTTCTGCATTCTTTAGAACATCAGCCTCCTTTCCTTACTTCCCTTGCCTACCTTCAACGCTGAAATAAAATGTTTTTCTATTAACAAGTCTTCTTACCTTAAAGTTCTCTGGTTCTTTAATAAGTTTTGCAGGCCTAAGAGGCCTTCTTTCCTCTCCGACCAGTTGGTGCTGGCACAGCGATTTAGGACTTCAGCCACATCTTCTGTCTGTCTCATGTACGTTGGTATGCTTCCATTCCTAGAGCTGTAGGACCTTTCTGAACAGGCACTTGATGCATCACTGTTGGCATCATCATCCGAGTACATCCCATAGGACTCGTATCTTCTTCGCACAGGCTTCTTCTATTGTACAGAAACACCCCACATTAGTACTGATTTCAAAGAGATAGTATACATAATCAGTAGAAGGATCAACAGCTCAAATAATTGATGTGACCCCCTACTCCC